ACTCCACTTCCATGATTGTTTCAGGGAGTGTACAATATCTATATACATCTCAGTCGCTTCACTGTGAATGTTTTCTGGGGTGCACTGAGTATGTCAGTCACGTGCAAAGCATATGCTGCCCCAAGTCGCACTGGCAATTTCTGAACGACGTGAAACAAGTAGAGAACATTGAAGAGAGCCAAATGGATCCTGAAAACCACTGGGTTGTACAGGAAAATAGTCTTGAAAAGTTTCATGCCATGAGGTTTTGGGTCTCGGACCCCGGGTGTAAGAACCAAAACCAGAGACCTGGCTGAGTGGTCGCTGAGTGGCCGCTGAGTGGCGCCGTTGGCAAAGCCGCTACTATCTTGCACCACCGGCCGTGCACACCTTACGTCCTCCTGTGTTGGGTCGGGTGTTGGGACGAACTTAAAGGTTACCACGCAAAGGTTACCACCTTAAAGCGTTGGAGGGTTTTGGGACATGTTGGGACGAACATGTTGCGTGTTGCAAAACGCTTTTTCGAGTCGTGTCAGTTTGGTCCAAAAAAGCCACAGTCGGGACAGTCGGTCAAGCAGTGAAATGGTGCTACCACTGAAGAGTGTTGGAGAGTGTTGGATCAACATATGCTTGGGTATGGTGCTACCACTGAAGTTGCTGACCAGAGAGTTGGTTTTACTTCCAACGCGGAGGACCGGTACAGCAGGGCCGATGTGGCTGGGGGTGCGAGTTTTTCAGGATGGGATGCGAAGATGGACATGCGGGTGGCCACTAGGACCACCGCACCCCTCTTGTTGAACTCGCGCGTTTTCAAGACAGTTTCAAAGTCATTCAACATCAACATGTTTACACGGGGGAACTCGAGACAGTCTCAAGCCTTTTGCAAGCGATTTTTGCCACTATACAGAGCTGCATCTATTTGCAGAAGGAACGATAACCTAAGTTACCACGTGTGCAATGGTTTCTACCGGCAAAGTCGTCCTCGCTGCATCCTGTCACTGCGACACAACCACCCGACCGAATTCGGCGGATTGGGGGACACTCTGCGGTGAACAACCGCGGGAGGGGAAGCGAATGGAATCCTGGCACTTGGCCAGTTGGCTAGACAGTGACTGTGACTCTACCTGAGCTTTAGTTTGGCCCTCAGTATTTAAACGTTTCACAATTACATGATTTATATTTGTAGATATACCTTTAAGGTATTTTCATATTAGAATAACATCATATTCCGCATCATTGTGCAGCATCTACATACTGGTATCGATTTGCAATACGTGTGTGGTTTAAACTATGATATATGAGGCCCACACGTGAAAGACCCGAAACATCGCATCTCTCACAGTTTCCAGATCCCGTAATAGCATAGGTCCATATAGGTCCTATGGAACAAGACTTTTTCATACTGTTTCATTCATATTTTGATAGTAACTGTTAGTACCGATAGAGTTGTAGTCACTCGAGAAAGCAGGCAGTATCTTAAACAGTCCGGAAACTTGTTTGAAGATTGCTAACTCTTGAGTAGTGTTTCACTCTCAAGTTGTAGTGAGCCTCAAGCAAGAGCCTCCGGGCTGAAGTAGCTTCCTTAGCATCACTCTTTTGAACAATCCGGAGGCCTGATTGGGAAGTTTAACATTGCACCTTTTTGCTCCTTGTTCGCCCCTGTAAACTGTGTGGATTTGTCAGCCAGGACAAGCGTGTCAAGGGACAAGCGTGTCAAATGTGGATGAGGAAAACGGGTGAGGGATGCCGGCCATGAGGGCAGCGCCTAACATGTGTAGTGCGTAGATGTGTTATCATTCTGACTGGTGCTTAGCAGGGAATGAGGGCATGGATCCAATAGAGTCTCTACTGGGGGCTCATTCCCTTATTCCCTACTAAGCACCAGTCAGCATTGGTTCAATTAGGGGAAATTGACATACTTTTTGGCTCATTCTTCATATGGAGAGAGATCCAGGTGCCAGGTGTCAAGACGCTCCTCAACATCCCACTATTGATCAACGGTTCTGTGCAGAAAAGGTGTGTAGCGTGTTTGCGGCAAGGCATCGTTTTGTGACTGGGTTGCGTTTTTGGGTCTTGATGAAAAGCTTGGAAACACACCCTTTGAGAGCTTTTGTTGATCGCTTTGTGTAAAATTGTCTCCCTCAGGGTGAGTAGTTCATTCACACCCACATGGAAAACCGGGAAATGCCGGCAAACAGATGGCGCTCACAAAAGCACTCCTGGCCACATCGGCAAAGCACTTGTGTAACACTCGTGGTCAAAAAAAGAGAGCGACTAGTTGAATAGCCTTGCAGTTTCCACCGTCCTTTTGACTTTAGAACTCGTTGACACTGACATGGGCAACGTGCTTGCCAGTAATTAGTCTAGCGTTTGTCGTTTGTGGTGTTTGTGTGTGTTTTCGCAGGTTTTGCTCATCAGTTGAACGTTGAACCGCGAATACACTTGGCACTCCACTTGACACATCTTGACGCGGCATGCATTGGCCAAGTGTTCTTGTTGATGCCATGGCATACCAACTTTCCAGTTCAACACATCACGTGTGGCAAGTTTGGAGTCCCGAGCCTTGAACCCTTGGCAACGACTGGGACTCGGACTGATGGACGGCTGCCTCCATCTCGATCAAGTATGGACCGATTGACCGAGGATGTGTTGTACCAGCTTGAAGTGTACCTTGCACCGAATTTGTTGCAGTCCTGGGCTGACCTTTGCAATATTGTGCCACCTGTTGGTTGTTCATGTTGTGAGTGTGTGTGTCTCTCCGCTCAGCTCAATAAATCTCAAAATGCATAGAAACTGGTAGCCCCCCTGGTTGAACATCATGTCCCAACCCATGTGATAATCCATGGTACGTGTTTTGCCTCAAAGAACGAACATAAAGTAAGTTTTTGGCTATCAAAACTTAACGTGTCGTCACTGATGGCTCAAGGTGACGTTGGTCGCCTAAGAAGACGGCACAGAAACACCTTGGGCAGACTTGGGGACGCATTTCCTCACTGCGCTTGACCTACAGAGCGGGGTGTGTGTTGACATGTGTCTGAATATGTCTGAATTGTTTGTATTTTTGTTTTTTCTGTGTGTGCCCAGGGTTGCGATTGAATTTTGTTGTTCTCAAACCGCATATTGGGTACAGGGTTTGAAAATCAGCCCAAGTCCAGTGCTGTAGATGAATCCGCTCACAAAGCAAACACACAAAAAGGAGAACATCGGGCAGCACAGACATAGCCACCAAAATGTTCAAGACTGATTGCCCCAGAGCCCAAATCTACCGGCCTTAAGAGCTATAAACCGACCAGAATGCACACAAACATACGTAACCCAACAGATCCAATCATTTTTCAGTAAAACAATTCCTTGAAACATTCTGAAGCAACAAAACGATTCGCTGAACCACCAGCAGCGTGCTGCCTGACTTTGCTGCACAACGGGCAGCTGGGCGCCATGCTGTTTCGATGCAAGGCTGATCCCTCGTACGTCTTGGGCGTGATCCTTGGCCGCGCGTGATCTTTTGTCGTTCCTCATGCAGCCTCATGCATTGCCCCAGTCCATCAGTGGCAATCAAACGATGTCCGGTTCAAAAAACACCCCTTATGGGCATATTGTGTCATTCATCAGAGGAGTCACAAGAATCCAACAGTTCTTCAATTTTTTTTTCTCGCTTGAACCGGCCATAGTTGGCAAGTTAATTGCCTCATGCCTTTGTGGTGGTGTTGGACTGGTTTGGAACCACTTGATTGAGCGAGTGGGTTTCACCAGTGGTGTTGAGACCCTTTTCGAGATGCAAGATGATTCAATAATATTCAATGCATTCCCCAGTCTTAGTCCCTGCCTTCCAATCGAAGGAAACATGTCCAGTTTCAACTGGAAACAGTGCAAACTGAATTTGAAGGGGTCATGTTCCACTATGCTTCTTGTGGTCCGCACGCCAATGAGTTCGTCAGCCGGGGGCATGTTCCTCCAGAAAAGTGTATAATACTCAATTAAAATCATAATAACAATATAATACAAATATATATAATATATATATATATATTGTAAGTTCCTCTTGCAGAATCCCCGCCTCATCCTCAGGAGGAGCGACAACTGTGTGGACGGAGGATGGGTAGGACTGTGCGTCCGCGCGTCCGGGCCTGTGGGTGTCCGGAGCATGTGGGGTGGGTGGTGCGCATGCCTGGGTGGCGGTCCTGAGTGGAGACTTTGGCGCATCACAACATCGCGACGCACTTCGGTGTCTAACCCCTAGCATTTGAAGAACATGAAAGAAGGGTTGAGCCGGCTTTGTAATCGAAACTCCTTAGCCAAACTCTGGCTGTTTGGTAAAGACTAGATGATGGTGTTTGGACTCCTAGCACCACTGATTGCCAACCTTAGCTGCCTGGTTACTTACGTTTTGTGCGATCGAACCTTGCGTTTTTAAAACTCACGTTTCGAGCCGTATGTTCCCACGTTTTGGAGCTCAGATGCGTTTTTGGAACTTCCTCATGCATAAACAGAAGAAGGCCATTGAACACAGAAACATCCCAAATGCATTTTCAAGAGCCAGAAAAACGCATCCAGTAGCACCCCATAGCCCGTAGCTCAGACACAAACAATGTACAAATGCATTTCCAGAGTGAGAGAAAAGCGTCCAGCAGTAGCCCATAGGCCCATAGTCATTAGTTTCTTTTTTTGAAAGACGAACATATTTCCGCAAAAGTGGACCTCCAGACCACACAGATGCATTTACCCGAGGACAGTAAATGCATATAGGTATTTGGATGGGCCTGGGTTTTGGAAGGGGGGCTGCACGTTTTGGATTACACGTGCGGAACCTTACGTTTTGCGTTTTGCGTACCGGGGTGCCTAAGCTGATTGCATCATGTTGATTGTGTTGTTCAAGCACCAGCCAGGGGTCTATATACACGGAAAACTTCACTGCTATGAGCTATATAGCCCTGTATAGGTCATGTACAGTATGGGTCAATTGGTCAATTATCTCATTTTGGTTGCGCCAAGTCTGGAAAGTCACAATATCTCCCGACAATCGGACGTGGATATCACAAGATTCCACAAAACGAGGATGATACGATACCTGTATCCACCTGAGCCTCCAAACACACCAACAACGACCCCAAAAACATCGACCCAACCATCACCCCTCGACCCACTCTGAACTCGCCTCGGCCACGCCTCGAGTGCGACGACCTCTCTCGCCATCGCAGGACTCCTACCCACAAGCTCGCCCATGCTGCTGATGACCTGGGAGGTCACTGAGGGTGTGCTACGGCCGAAGGCCAACCCCCGACGCCCGGAAAGAGAGATGGACGGTCGACTGGGATCGGAAGGTGGATGAATGGACCACCTCTTTGGGAGGAAGGTGTGCATTGAATCAAGAACACTCAGTTATCTCAGTATGAACAGTTTGTTTTTTTTGGGGGGGGTTTGTGATTAACATAATAATGATCATGATTTTAACTATTTAGCATTTAGCATTGAACATATCTCCCCAAAGCTAAGGGGACCATTTTCAGCAGTGTGCCACCACGAAGAACTCTCATGGACCCAGAGTTTGACATCTGGGCGTCAAGATCTTTGTTCTTTGAGAGTCCAGGTTCGTCTCAAAACTGATGTTCGTCAGTTCGTCATTCATCCCGTTTCCATGATCATCCACGGGCCTTACACCTCTTTGTTGCATGGGGCTTCGACGCCCCGCCCGGCTCGGCCCGAGGCGTCGCTTTGGCGTTGGCCCAGGAGGAATGCCAAAACGGCGGATGGGTGCAGCTGTCCGAGCCCGGTCCACTGGGGCTCCTCGGTCGGTTGGTTTGGGGAATGCAAAAAGCACCAGTGGATGGGTGGAAGCAGGATGGTTGGAAGAGTTGTTTGAGTAAGAATTCGATGGAATGTTGGAATCAGGATGTAGAGGCCTGATTTTCTGAAATCACATTGAGAAATGGTGTAAAGTTAAAGGCTACATATATTTTTTTGACCCTCAGAAACGAATCGGGATGCAAGCTGGCATCGAAAGCAACACAACATTGGCAGTTGAACGCCCACAGCAATTTCGTCAATAATTACAGTAGATGGTTGACCCAAGTATGAGAACAATCATCCAGTTTTAATAGTTCTGGGGGAGTGGCCACCTTCAGCCCGGTGCTTTTTTAATTGATAGGGGTTGAGAGGAACCCAGTTCTGGAAGCCCGTTCCAGCCGATGCAGATTTTGCCAGACGAGTGCTTGCAAGTCTTGATTTTTGGGTGGAATCCACATCATTGTATACCACAAGTCCGAAGCACAATTGCAAGAAGCCTCCGGTTGTGGATTAGATAGAAACCGTCGTAAACAAATAGTTGACCCTATTCTTTCATTGGGGCTTCACTTCGGCATAGTCCTGAAACCCAGATACATACTGTATCTAATTAATACACGCCCCATATTAAAGAGGTCATTCAATCCAAATGGGGAGGCTTTATTGATTCATCAAGTCTACATCAAGAGATCTGGCTTTTTCAGAGCACCTTTCAGCCCCGCTCCAAGGCAATGGGTCATCAGTGGCAACTCCTTGCGCGCGAAGGGGAACCCTGGCTTTGTGCTGTGTGCTCGCCGAGACTTTCAGGCTCGGTCTTTGGTAACGGCTCGGTCTAGGGTGCAAAGCTGCAATGAAGCCCATCGGATATGCCCATCGGCGAGTCAATAAACCTTGAACCAGTCAACCGACAAATCCATCCAATGCTAAATGCTGAATCATTCACGTGGACCTCAACGCGCCAGGGGATTCATCTTTGGTCCTTCGACGGTCTACCGGACCAGTACGGCCAGTGGAACTTGGAAGACGTGCCGGACGCGCGCAGCCGCGCGCGGACCTCGAGCGACTTCGCACGACCTCGAGCGCTGTCGAGTGGCCATGGGCTGCTGCGGCCGGTGCCTTGGGCTGAGCGTCAGGTTGACTGTTGAGACAACCCCTCGGCTCCCAGGCTTGGGGGGTGCTATGATGTTCTATGTTCAACAGGTAAGCTGAAACAAAGATGTGTTGATTCGGTGTTGATCCCCTCTCCATTCTTGAGCCCCTACACATCCCTTTAAACAACACAGACGGTCATCGCTTCCTGCCTCCATGCCATGGGCCCTCCATCCATCATGGTTTCTTGGGACCACTAGGAAGCGACGGTTGACCCAGCTGTTGGTTGCTTGCTTATTGGAGGGCATGCTGTTTACATATCCTACAGACCAACCGAAGATGGCGCCGTGAAAACGGCGCCATGTCAAAGTAGTGTTTGGGCTCCGCTCATTGTTTGCTGCGTTCGGTTGCCCAGGTGATCTCAGAGCTGCATTCAGCGGTGATGTTCAGCGATGAGGAGGAGACCCCAAAGGTTCTGGACATCCGCAGCGAGCAGTTTGTTAAAGCAATGCTGCTTGACTTGTTCGGGTAGCCAAAAGCCGATATGCATACAGTTTCGTGCAGCAAACATGTAACTACATGTTAGTTGTTCATAGATCCCCCTCCCACGCAGTTCAAGTTGAAACAGGTTCCATGTTCCATCGATTAATATTGAAGCTTGCCTGTAGGTCCTGTCCCTCAGGCAATGATCAACATGGACCATAGGAAGATCACGGAAGATCATGTTGATTTACTCAATGAGAATGTTTCAGGGAGGGTTACCACAGGCCTCATAAGAGCCTGGGTGTGAGAGCGGGGGACTACCTTGTCGACATGTACAATTTCTGTAGACCATTCTGGTTCTTCATTCTACATTGATGTTCTGAGATTCTTTGATCAAACGACTTTGTACCAAGCAGTAGTGCAAACACTGGTGCCCCACATTTCAGATCAGTTGTTCTCAGCTACGGCGGAACCCGCCTGGCGGGCAGATCCACGCAGCCGTTTTCTGAGGCACAGCTTGGTCTTGGTGCTGGAGCGCTTGGGCTGGAGAGTGAGTAGCTCGGAGTCTTCAGAGCCGTGTGAGTAGCGTTCGGGCGCGTTCGCGTAGCTCGGAGTCTCCAGCGCTTGGGGAGATTAAAGGTGGAAAGGCAACAAAGAGCATTGAAGATTTCTATGCTTTTCCTGTAGGCCTTGTGGCTAGAGATTTGTTTTAATATATATGTGGACTGCCATGTATAGGCAGAGCATTAGAGAGCAAGTCTGATGGTAATGAGTGAAATTGTGTATCCATCAGCAGGGCAAGCCATGGGATGCTCAGCCAAAGCTACTTGTTCGATCGAATTAATCTTACTTTTTGCTGTTACCCTGCTTGATGCCTGAGATCGAGGGGAAATATGGTTGGAGATGCACAGGGATACGGGTTGCACAGGTAGCACCCGGAGTTGGTGTTTAAATCATTTTACAAGAATTGGTGTCACCTCCAAAGGCAGCTGCTTGGAGACTGACAATGAGAAGCTCACGCGACTCTATGGGAAAGCTGGACTCTTGGAGAGATGCAGCACCATGCCGCCCATGCGGGTGAGTATTTTAATAGGGAGACCCCCAACCACTGGGCTTTGGTCCCCCAACCTTCCAGCGGTTCGTTGCCCGGGGGGGTCTCCCTATTTTGATACACACTCATTTTACAAATGTCGCTCTGAAGAACTCTTGGGACACGCCATAGAATACTCTGACTTGTGACGCTGCAGTGCGCAGCGCTGCCGCAGAACAGACCAATAGAAGTACCAATAGGTGTTAAACATGGTTTAGTAGGTGTTAAACAGACCAATAGAATAGAATAGAACATAGTAAGTAATATAGTATAACACGTGGTTCTTGTTGGCGGATGGGTGATGGCCAGCGGGACCTGAAGCCGGGCTTCCACCGAAGACCGCCTCACGTCCGCCTCTGCGGACTCGGCTGGTGCGCGACTCACCCCGCGAAGACGCTTCGGGGTCCTTCGGTCCGGGTACGGCTGAGCGAAGATGCACTGATACACTTCCTTGGAAGAACAAGCAGCTTATTATGCTTATGCTGAGCTGATGCTTATGCCGAGCTGATGCATCATCCACCCAAAGAGGCTGAGCTCCTTCGTGTGAAGCACTTCTTTGGGTGGATGATGCACATGGATCCCCGTCCCAAGAGGTCCCAGATGTCGTAAAACACTCTTACAATCCTGGTTTTGTTCAAGGTGATTTGTTTACATATTCCCGATGGATACCTATGGGTAAATCTCCTTTTGGTGAATACTATGTGAGTGTTTTTTAAAATCCAGTTTCCGGAGCTGATGACTTTGTTGCCACAGAGCTTTAGCGCCGCCGAGCACCGAGGAAAACCCAGCTATCGTGCCTGGCTGCTGTCAGAGACTCCAGTGCATGAAGCCACGGGCTACCAGGAAGCCTTGGTGTCCAAGCAAATGAGGGGGACAGAGCAACTACTGCACTGGGTGTTAAATGTTATCCTTCCTAAACAGGTGTGATGTGTTGCCACAATACGCCACAACCATTTTACACCAGTGGTGATTCGTGCAACCTAGCCATGTGATTTGGGGTCCCCTGCTTGTGGAGACACCTGTTTTGGAAAAACAAGATGAGAGCAAAAATGGCTCCGGGAGCCAAAAGGCTAACCGGCTATATAACCCTTGCGCAGCACCTGGATGTGCTTCTAAGCTTCTTTGGAGGTTGCGGTACCATAGTCTTCCATCCCAGATTATCATGTATGGTATAGTTGCATGCTTTTTGCCCATTTATGACCCTAATGTAGGTAACTATTCCAGACAGCAATGGTTTGGGCATGTATGTAATTCTTTTGCTGCCACTGCCTGTTTTTTTGGACACCGGACCACGATCACAACCCGCCAGGAGTATGCAGATGACTCGGCGACCATGGCAAACCTGTGGATTGCTCGAAACTCGGACAAAGCTGCTGACTGAGTGATTTCAGTCGCGTCTTATCTATATAGCATGTGTTATCTCAATGCATGGGAGCCTTCCACCCGAGGACCTCTCGTTTTTGAGACCATGAAAACCCAAAGTGATTTTTCTTTGGACGCAGAAAGGCATGGGACATTGCCACTGATGGTCCGTTGCAGGAACTCACCTGGTAAGAAGGCAACCCCCTGAATGATGGTCTCCAGTTTTTTCCCTTTGTGACTGAGGAAATCTCAGCTTCTTTGCCGAGTTGTTCCATGGCTGCAAGTTGGGGGAGCTGGTGGACAAACGTCCACTGTGATGCACTGTGCATGAGAGGTAGGTTGATTTTTTGGATATTCATGGAGCCATCCTACATCATCCTACGCTTGATGCGTATCATCATGCATCATCAAACAAAATACGGCCACTTCGTTTTCTTTTCTTTCCGTGCATGACGCTTAGCCACTAGGGAGGAGCAACCTGGAACTACCCTGGTGCCACTGGTGTATGGCGGGCCTCGTCCAGAACCATAGATGTTCTCTATCGCTTTTATGGGTCATGACTCATGACAGTCACCTTGTTCTTGATTTGTTCATGTGTTGGTGTTCCCTGTCATGAAGTATGCTAAGAAAAACACTTGTGCTAAATATCAAACAGATGAAGTTTGAGACGGAACCTCATTAAGTTGGCTAAGACATGTATTACATCCCCCCAAACCTGTTCCTCATCCAATCGGACTCCGCCTCACTGGACCCTTGGACCCTGCTGGACCTGCCGGAGGTTCTTCTTGCTGGCGGATGGTTTGGAGACCTCCGATGGTGTGAACCTCGCCTATGCTCGAAGCCTTCAGGAGCATCATTCCTTCCTGCAGCGTCAGGCCGGCCTCGGCCTCCCTCAGGAGATCTCAGGATGAACACTATAGGTTCCAGATATGCCGTGCCTGTGAAGCTCGCAAGGTGAGTGACTTAACTGGCTACCTTGGAGATTTAGGCTTGGGAACTCTGCCAACGCCTTCCGGAAGCCGTTGGAACCAATTTTTTTCCTATGCTTTTTCGAGGGGGATTACTACATGCCTAATCATGCGATTTGCGGACTTTTCTTGACTATATGACGGGAAACCATTGTTTAATTTGCTTGCAGCCAACCCAGGAGGCACCGAACACATAACAATATGTTCTTTACTGTGTCTTTATGTTTAAAGTTATGACCTCCCTGACAGGGTTAGCATCAACTCCTACCAGACTAAGACTACTACTACTACTACTACTACTA